AAAAAAAAAGCCTCAAATGATTTACTTCATCTTGTTTGCTTTTAATTAGATGATAGGATTTACTTATTGAGTCTTCTCTGTATTTTTATTGATCAGTTTTTTTATTTAAATTTTTAAATTTTTAAAAACTCTTAATATGATAGCATTTGCAGTGTAGTCCTAGAATTGATGATGTATTGCAATGTGTATGTGTGTGCCAGTGGGTCATGCAGCACGATCCATTTTGTATTGTGACTAAAGTTTTGTAGTCTTACTTTCTGCCTTCTTTGTTCTTAGAAACAAAAAGAAATACCCAATGTTGAAAAAAAGCAGGAGTCATCCAAAGCTGAAGAAGAGGAGGGCGATGACAATGATGAAACTTCAGATGCAAAGGACAATTCTGTTGGAGATGATGATCACAATACGATGGATGAGGATACAGACCATGAGGATAAATCCGATGAAGAGCAAGACGAACCAAAAGACCAGGTCTCAAGTCCAAAAAGTTCATCCAAAAAGGTTGTAAAGGAGGGATCAAAGGTTAAAGCTGGGAGCAAAGCAACACCTGCTAAGAAGAAAACCCCTGCAAAATCTGTGAAAACACCTACGGATTCTGCAAAGAAATCTAGTTCTACTTCAAAAAGAGGTGCAAGTGATGCTGATGGAGCTTCTGGCTCACAGACTAAAGCAAAGAGATCTGCAAAGAAACAAAAGACTGAAAAGGAAAGCCAGAAGGATGTTAAGGAAAAGGCCAGTGGCAAGAAACAGTCGAGCAAGTCCCCGGCCAAGGTTTCGGCAAAGGATCAAGGTGATTTGCTTTTGCTGTGGATTCTTCCTACTTATTTTGATGCTTTAATGTTTTTACTTTAAGGCTGTTTCATGAAATGCTTAATTCTCCCAGAAGTTTAGGAGTGTCTCTTTTAATTGTATCAATTTCTTGCATGAGCCAGCGAAAGGAAAAACTAGCAAGAAAGCAAAGGCAGAGCCCACGAAAGATGATATGCATGCAGTAATTGTTAATATTCTGAAAGAAGTGGACTTCAATACTGTAAGTGACTATTGCAACAATGTATTGAGTGGATGGTTGAAGTTATGTCAGTTATATTATTTAATTTCTGCATTTTCTTTGTGCAGGCAACTTTATCAGACATTCTCAGGCAACTTGGTAGGGCTTCTTTCTATCTTCTATGATTTCTTTTTTTTCCTTTGATAATCTTCGCTTACACTTAGCTAACTGCAAAACTGTAATTTACCTAGGTACCCACTTCGGTATTGATTTAATGCATAGAAAAGCAGAGGTGAAGGATATAATTACAGAAGTAATTAACAATATGTCTGATGAGGAAGATGAAGGGGATGAAGCAGAGGAGGAAGCTGAAGCTGGTGATGATGCTGACAAAGATGAAGAAAAGGACGACAACGACGAAGATGATGCTTAGTTCATAGTAGGCCAGAGCTTATACGTGACTGTTGCAGAATATGTGCCATACGGCGGCATTCACCAGTTCATATCTTTCTACAGAGGTGTGTGTCATCAGCGGTTTTTAAGAACCGATAGGATTGCCTTAATTTTCAGATAAATATACCCAGCTGGGTGTGTTTGTACCATATTATTTTAACCTCTTTTGTAGTGTTAATCTGACCTCAGATTCATATGTTAGGTTTGTTTACTTCTTTTTAAGTTAAACCCCCCTCCTATAAAAGTTGTTTAGCTGTAGCCATGACTTAATTTTCATTATAAATGAGTAGTAAGTGGGTTTTTTTTCTTAATTGTTTTCTGTTCTTTTTTGAACTACAATAATTGCAATTGGATTTAGCACGAGGGTTACTTTTATCGGAGCCTAGATTTTGAGGAATTAACAAATTGCCCCACTAAATTTTGAGGGAAAAAAGATTAAAACGAACAAATGAGTGATTATTTAGACTTTTACTATTTTAAAGTTTTTAGATCATGAATAATGTGAACTTGTAAGCGAAAATTTCAACGTGTCATGGGCCAAGTATACATTGAAAGGACACGAAACTGACTAGCATCTAAATGAACCTATAACAATTTAAACATTTACATTACATGATCCACTGCAAGTAAAAAAAATATTAAAATTGAATAATTCTATAGCAATTATCCTAAAGGTTGTTGGTTAAGGAGCTTGTAGGTTCGTATTAAAATAAACGAGCTTATAGTTCAAGTGATTCAGAATATCAGTAGGAGTTTGTAGCTCAAAAGAAAAATAAATGATGGTTAAGATTTTTGCTTTTTTCAATACGGTGATAGTTAAATAAGTTGGGTATTCTTGTTTGACACTAATCAGGTATGTTCATTATTTGTATTAACAAGTTGTGCTATTAAGCGTTCAAGAATTTTAACCCATTAAGCATCATATCGAATTTGAGTCGTACTTAACAGGCATCCCTATTGTAAGGAAAGAAAACACATTGGCATGGTAATATTATAAATTTCTGTTTCTAAAAACAGAAATAATAAAATGTTATTTCTTAGAAAAAAATAAGGACTGAAAACAGTATTTTCGATTTTATTCTTCTTTTAAGTAAGTAAAGGAGAAGGACAGAAAACCAAGGTGGTTGGTGTGGGTGGTTCGGCATTCTCATTCCTTAAGAGAGGTCAGGGGTTCGATCTCTGCTCTTGTACGGAGTCACCACTTTGGCTAGCACTTTACCCTTTACGGGCCGACCCGGTGTGAGCGGGGATTAGTTTGGATTGTGGTTAAGGCTTAAAGGTGCCACCCATAATTGGGGCCAATTCAGAACCACCTCGTAGTTCAGACCAAAAAATAAAAAAGGAGAAGGACAGAAAGGACAAAAAGGACAATAGGAGAGAGGAGTATTGAGAAATGATTTGAGGGGTTTTTCAATTGAATAGTGTAAGATGATTTTTTAAAATATATTTTCTTTTAATTTCAGTCCTCGTTTCTTTTTATTTTGTCTTGTCAAAATTAACCTTTGTGAGCTAACAAGCTGCATCTGTCAGCTTTTATTATCTGATTTCTGGGCCATAGAAACAGCGCCTCTGATAAGGGGGAGTTTAAGCCTAGGCAAAGAATTTCATTTTATACCAACATGAGTTGGTCCAAGTGGAAGGGACTTGGATCCTTTAAATAAGAGGTTCTGGGTTCGATCCCAGGCATTTGCGAATAGAGCAGATTCTGTTGGGAGAGGTCCCCGCTTTGCGCCTGACCGTACCTCGAGAGATTTAGTCTCCACAGTCGCGGGGGTATACCCTGGGAAACAAAAAAAAAAAAGAATTTCATCTTATTTATTTATTTATTTATTTTGGGTCAAACTGGAATAAACTACCAGGGCAAAAAGCCAAAGATACAAAACTAGAGTCCAAAGCTAATGGGCAACTGCAACCAGGAAAACAGAACATACAAGTACAAAGACTAGAGGAAAGGGCAAAGAATTTCATGCACATTGTTAATTAACCCTATGTTACTTAAAGTTGATTGAAAAGTTTCATCCAACTTGGTATAATTTTGTATTTAATACCCATTCATAAGGTCCAATAATAGTGTAATGCATTTTTCTTGCTAAGTTACTTAGGAGATTATGGACCTATAGCTTCAGTGATTCAACTCTATACCTACCACCACGAGAGCTTGATTCGAAATTGACGCGGATTTCAGAGCCATCTCATGATATGGACCAAGGATTTTAAAATGGAATGGGCTAAATTTAGGTACTAAGTAGATAGAAAATTCAATAATACCGTGTGATTTCATTGATAACAAAAAAATAAATAAATAAAGCAAGAACAATAAAATCAATTACAAATCCTATTTGATAATTCATAACTCATAAACTGAAATTGATGCCCCAATTGCAAATACTAATTGATAATTCATGAGTGTCAATTGCACCTAATTGATACTTCATAAACTCCAAAAAAATCCTCAAATTAAAGCATCAAGAAATTGAGAGAAGCTTACATGACGAATATAGGAACTTGGTTCACTTGAATTAAGTCTTGAAGGTGAGTGCAGTAGCAACAAGAGCGTTTGTTTTTTTTCTTCTCTACATGCAAGGGTAGGTTGGTGCTGTGTGTGAGTTAATTTTTTTTTTCTTTTTTTTCTTTTGCTGTGCTGTGCTGTGAGGTTCCCCCCTCCTTTTATTGACTACGTGCTGTGCAAATAGGCTATTTAAATTGGGTGAGCTAGGATTTTATGTTTTGGGCTGAAAAAAAGAAGCCACCTGGACTATAGCCTAGGTTTGCCAAACTAAAGGTCTGTCCTTGTTACTATTAGTAAGAAGATCATATCCCAACCCAAGTCTAATGCTAACTTGTAGGTGTGAGATTTAGGGATTAGCTTATAGTTAACCTCAACCTAAAATCTAAGGGAACCTTCTAACTTCTAACTGTGTGATTGGCTAAAACTTGCAAGAAAGCCATTCTGTCAGCTGTAATGCAAATATTACTTCTTTTATGATCACTCACTTTTCTTCCAATTCCAATTAAGGTCAAAAAGTTCAGATATTATGGCCATGAAATTCATATAAATCTTATTCTAATCAGTAATTTTGTGTTTAAATATTTAGAGCAAGTATACCAAGCAACCTAATATATATATATTTTGGAGGCCTAACACACCAACCAAACCCCATCATCATCTGATTCTGATCATGTGCTGGTAACATTTTGGTTCACTGGCCAGTACTCAACCACAGCTCATATGAGCTTAGCACAATCTGCAGACAAAAACACCAATCTCCAATATATATACTTCATAAAATCTCATGAATTTAACAATAATAATATAAAAACAAAGGTCTGTCAGTCTTAAATTTCTTGTTCCTGAGAGAGGGGCTATTCCACTAAAAGAGCTTTGCGTATGAACCCGAACCAATTAGACAAGTGAAAGAAAACCAGTCTCTTTCATGCTGCAGAGCTCTTTGCCAACCAAAACAATTTTAATGGTGAAAGTTTTTTGTCTTGCTTTTTTTTTTTGGGTTTGGTAGAGAAACAAGAAATCCATTACTAGTTATAATTAAAATACTGAAACTAGCTACACACCACATCAGTTTCAACCAACCAAACCTCAGAGCTATCCCCAGCTGCTCCCTATATAAATCATTCCAGCCATTTCTCCTCATATCATCTATTGCAGCATTACAGGTACACTTCAAAACATTCCTTCTTTTTTTTTCTTTTTTGCTTTTAAAGTTCAAGTTCTTGGTACATAATATTGACTATATTCAGCTCATTTTGTAATTTGCATGTATTTATATGGTTTGGAAATTGGCTGATCACCTATATTTCTCTTACTTTTCTTTGAACTGCTTTAGGTGTTTTCTGTGATGGCGTATATCAGTGGCAAAGCCTTTGAACTTTCTGTACTTAAAGAAGAACCAACTTTGGTGCCTCCTGCAGAAGAAACAGAGAAGGGCCTGTATTACCTCTCAAACCTGGACCAGAACATTGCGGTCATCATTCGTACCATCTACTGCTTCAAATCGGATTTAAAAGGGAATGAAGAAGCTGTGGCGATCATAAAGAGTGCCCTGTCAAAGGTTCTTGTTCATTACTACCCTTTGGCAGGGAGGTTAAGTATCAGCACAGAGGGGAAGCTGATAGTGGATTGCACAGGTGATGGTGCTGTGTTTGTTGAAGCTGAAGCAAACTGTGAAATGGAAAAGATAGGTGACATAACAAAGCCTGATCCTTTGACTCTTGGGAAGCTGGTTCATGATATCCCTGGTGCCAAGAACATACTTGAGATTCCTCCCCTGGTTGCTCAGGTTTGAGTTTCCGAAATTTTTTCATGCTTTCTTCTTTCAGTTTTGAGAACAGTCTACTCACCACCATTGATGTAGCATACTATCTTACTCAAGGATCGTCATGTCTTAACAAAAACTATAATTAGTTTTTGATACACTTGTTATAACTTGGAGTATAAGAAACTGTCAAGAGTGCTACTATTGCTGATCTTTGATATAACCAGACCTTATTTTAACCAAAACGAACAAAAAGAAATTCTAAGGTGATTGTTTAATCAATTTCAGGTGACCAAGTTCAGATGTGGAGGATTTGTCCTTGGGCTATGTAACAACCACTGTATGTTTGATGGGCTTGGGGCAATGGAATTTGTGAACTCATGGGGTGAGACTGCTAGAGGCTTGCCACTTAAGGTCACCCCATTTCTAGACAGAAGCATACTTAAAGCCAGAAACCCACCTAAGATAGAGTTTCCACACAACGAATTTGCTGAGATTGAAGATATATCTGATAACGCCAAACTCTATGAAGAAGAATTGCTATATAGGTCTTTCATTTTTTACCCTGAGAACCTTGAAAAGCTCAAGAAAATGGCCCTGGAAGATGGGGTTCTTGACAAGTGCACTACATTTCAAGCACTCTCTGCCTTTGTCTGGAGAGCTAGAACTCAGGCCTTAAGAATGAGACCAGATCAGAAAACAAAGCTTCTTTTTGCTGTTGATGGGCGCTCAAGATTTGAGCCACCAATACCAGAAGGGTTCTGTGGGAATGCAATTGTGCTAACAAATTCACTGTGTAGTGCAGGGGAGCTATTGGAGAAGCCGTTATCATTTGCTGTTGGGCTAGTTGATAAAGCAGTTCACATGGTTACAGGTAGTTATATGAGGTCTGCCATAGACTACTTTGAAGTAACAAGAGCTAGGCCTTCTTTGTCTGCAACTCTTTTGATCACAACTTGGTCTAAGCTAGCTTTCCACTCTACTGATTTTGGGTGGGGAGAGCCTGTGCTGTCAGGGCCAGTGAGTTTGCCTGAGAAGGAAGTAAGTTTGTTCCTTTCTCATGGGAAAGACAGGAAAAGCATAAATGTACTTTTGGGTCTGCCAGCTTCTGCTATGAAGATATTTGAAGAGTTGATGCAGATTTAAAAAAGAAAAGTTGGCCAGGTTAAGGAGGAGAAGCAATAATCATAACCCCAATTCAATTTACAAAGTGAAGAAAGAAAGAAATAAATCTTGAGAATGAATAAAAGGGTGGTAGAACTTGCAAAGTTTGTTATGCATATGTTTCATCTATTTTCTTTGTTTCATTTTAATGTGTATGGTTTTTATGGTGAGTATTATACATATGTTCAGCAGTTCATAAAGAAGAACATGAAGTCAACTTCTAAATCAGGTTTTGTTGGGTTGTGTAACTACCAAGTGCTTGTAAAGATATCTAACACTAACTTCATCAGAAATCATCAACAATAACTAGGAAACATTGCCTTGTTCTTTCATGATTCTCACTGTCAGCAAACTCTGTGTGTCTGGGGTGTGATCATAAATTACCAAGACAAAAAAAATACATGAATACAGAAGAAAAATGAGCATCCATAGTCAGAGCTCTTAATTTGAGAGCCTGTAGAAAACCCAACAGAGATTACACTTAAAAATTCTTTGTTGTTTTGTGTGAAATGGAGAAAAAGAAAAATGAAGGGTTTCTATATACCACTTGATAAATACACATCACTCACTCTGCAACAATCAGTAATTATCACTCTGCCTCCAGTTCATCAGATTATTGGCTTATCCATTAATAAAATTAATTATATTCAACTTCCGCCGATTTTGCAGTAGAACTTCAAATTTACCTTTTCTGTAGTTTGCAAGAAGGAGATCTTGTGGCATGGTACAATCCAAGTTCCAACCCTAGAACAATTTCAGATAAAAAATATGATTAGGTTTCTTCGTCATGTACAATCCATCCAAAACAAAGTACTAATCTTCCATCCAAAGCTGCACCATTATTAAATAAATTTGGAAAGTGATAGTACATGAAATAGAGGATAAATGGTGAGATTAAAAATTACATTTTGTCTAATTCTCATCAAAATTTCATGTCTCTATTTTTCAAAACTCGCTGTGAATAGAAATTGGGCCAACCCAGTAATCTGGTTCTTATGAATACAAAACATCAGCCCTTACTGGCCCGGCCTGCTCTTCCTGGCAAGCAAACTGGGCCTTGAAAATCATTATTTTAGAGATCCAATACAAACTTCACGACGACGTAGTCTGAAGAGCCCCGCAGTATAGTTTGTGCTCTTCTTCCTGGTTTGAGATTCATGGGTCCAAAACCAGGTCACCCAAGTCGAGGCTCTGCAGCTTAAACTCCCGCTTTCGTTCTAATATTATTTCTATCTCCTTCTGCTCCATCAATACAGCCGCAAACACCATCGGTCTTTTCAAGCAAAATCATATACACACGAGACCAAATGCCTTCACTGCGGCATTTTCACAAACACCATACATTCTTATAGCTGCCATTGCTTCGCTTTATTCCAACAATATGTTTGTGAGAAGATACTGGTCAGTTGGGTCGTGGTCAAAGGATCAGAAGCGGTTTATGACCACCAGTAAGCGGGTGCAAGACAGAAGCAAATTGAAGAGGATTCATGATCTTGAGATTGTCACTGAGAAATGGAAGATAGCATCCAAAGTGCTCTTCTTAATGGAAATTCTTAAAAAAGAGCCTGAAATGATCATTCCCGTTAGGTCATTGGATCAGTACCGCAGCCAGATTAGTCTCCCAAAACCTAATCGAGTGTCTGATTTTATTCGGAAATCGCCGAAATTGTTTGAACTGTACAAGGATCACAGAAGGGTTTTATGGTGTGGGATGACCAAGAAAGCTGAGGACTTGGTAGAAGAGGAGGATAGGATACTTGAGGAACATCAAGATAAGGCTGCTGAGTATGTCACTCGTTTTCTGATGATGTCTGTTGATAAAAGGCTTGCTTTGGACAAGATTGTCCATTTTAGGAGGGACTTTGCTCTGCCAGTTGATTTTAGGACTGGTTGGGTGCACAAATATCCCCAACACTTTAAGCTGGTTAAAGATGAGGAGGGGCTTGAGTATTTGGAACTTGTTAATTGGAACCCTGCTTGGGCTATAACAGAGTTGGAGAAGAAGACAATGGGGATCACTGAGGCCAGTGAGGATCATACGCCGGGCTTACTTTCGATCTCTTTTCCTTTGAAGTTCCCTCCCAATTACAAAAAGGCATACAAGTACAGAGGAGCAATTGATCATTTTCAAAAAAGGTCTTATTTATCTCCATATGCAGATGCTAGGGGACTCAAAGCTGGGTCTAAAGAATTTGACAAGAGGGCAGTGGCTATCATGCATGAGCTGCTTAGCTTTACTGTTGAGAAGAGATTGGTGACTGATCACCTCACTCACTTTCGACGTGAACTCATGATGCCCCAAAAGCTTATGAGACTTCTGCTGAAGCATTTCGGCATCTTCTATGTTTCGGAGAGGGGGAAGAGATTTAGTGTCTTCTTGAAAGAAGCTTATGAAGGATCAGAGCTGATTGAGAAAAGCCCTCTGGTGCTATGGAAGGAAAAAGTCCAGAGCCTTATTGGTTATAGAGGGAAGAAGAAGATAGAAACTTTCAGTGATATGTCAGACATGGAAGACAATGGTTTCGAAGAGAGCCAATCCGAAAATGAGGACATTGACTTGCAAATTGAGCAAGAGGAGACAGAGGGTGACATGGAGGATGATTCACTTGGAGATAATTCTGAAATGGACATTGATGAGGTTTGCAGTGCATATGAGGATAATACCAAAAGATGTTAAGGTCCTCAAAATTTCATATTTGCAAACAGGTCTGTCTCTGTATGTGCTAGATTTCTAGTTGTAGATCCTGGTTTTTCTGTTGTGTGAAATGATCATATCATAAATTTGGAAATTGGAACCTGGAACAAGAATGTGTGCCTGATACAGAATGAACAAGCAATGTAGAAAACTGGATTTCCAATTGTTTGCAATGTATGAGTGAAAGCAGCTGTTTGGTTAGACAGAAAATGAAATTGGGTTCCGCGTGTGGATGAAGTTCAGTGTTCAGGTCGATTGAAAAACGTTTACAGACATGAACGAACAAAATCTGCATGGTAGTGTTACCTAAAAACAAGTTCACATGATGAAGAAGATAGTTTACAGTTTACTTTGAATTAAGAAGAAAAAAAGTGCATGTGTTTGAAAGGTTAAATGGATACTGAAAACGAATTACATCCAAAGCAATATCATTAGGACCCTAAATCATTGTTTTCGGGTCCAACATTAGCTGGGTGAGGATCTACTTGTGACACTCGCGGAATCTACTTGTGAGGATCTATTGGATCGGATAAGTTGGGTCCCATTGTGGCGGCCCTTTAAGGCTATTGGATTGGTTCAGATGGGGCCCATGAAGTCTTTACCCGTTAGGTGTCCAAGATGTTAAGAGACCATCGCAACCCTAATTCTCCATTACAACTCTTGCCGGTACCCTGGTCGTTCGAGAAACATTCACATGAAACGGGAATAATACTATTTTGCTGTCATTGGCCAATCACGGTATGCCACACGTGATAACTTTTCCATGTGACAGAGACAGACTGTGATTGGCCGGGGCTATCCCCATTTCAGACAAATTTTTATGGTGTTCAAACAAGGTGATTTCTTAGGGCTTTGTATTGATGTGACTTTTGACACCCTTGTGATGTTATGTAATTCATTATTTCAGATAAATAAGTTCAATCTAATCCAGATTTTGCTTGAAAATGGCGTTCCCAAATAAAATTACTGTCAAATTACCGTCATTCATAATGGGTATTCAAAATAACATTCAAAACTCAGTTTGAAAAAATAAAAAATAAAATCAAATGATGGTTAAATTAAGAATTCCGCCAGTACTCAAATTGTATTACTATAACTCTTCTTTTTGCTAAGGTCATCAAACAATGGAATTCATACTTTGGTTTAGCAGTTTCCTATGTTGCATCGATATGGATACGGGTATACTGATATGATACGATATAGACAAATATCTCTTAAAAGTAAGATATGCATACGGCACCAATACGGTGATTAAAATAATATAAATATATAAACAGTCAAACAATATGGGTAGAATATTTTCAGATATATTTCATTCTCCGAAAGGAGGTATTTATAATACAGGTTACAAACCCTAGTAGGGTTTAATTAGGAAATAAGTGGAATCCTAATTACATAATATCTATACAAAAGGAAAAATAAATAAAACCCAAATAGAATAAGATATATTCTGCTCGCCAACGCTCCCCCTCAAGTTGGAGCAAAGACGTCACGCATGCCCAACTTGTCAAGCGAGTTGAGAAAGATACTTGTAGAAACAGCTTTCGTAAGAACATCAGCTAACTGATACTCTTAACGGATGAAGGGGAAGGACACAACCTCCGCATCCAACTTTTCTTTAATGAAATTTCGATCAACCTCCACATGTTTTGTACGGTCATGTTGTACAGGATTATGAGCAATTGCAATCGCAGCCGTATTGTCACAATTTAAATTCATGGGTTTATTAGGCCCAAAACCAAGGTCTTTCAACAATCTCCTCAACCATAGTAACTCAGATACACCATGGGCCATTCCCCGATACTCGGCCTCAGCACTAGATCTAGACACCACCTTTTGTTTCTTGCTCATCCACGTAACAAGATTGCCACCCACAAACATAAAACACCCAGATGTCGAACGCCTATCTGTGGCTGAACCTGCCCAATCA